TTGCCTAAATTTTAATAGTTACAAGAGGAGACCTTGAGGTCATAAGTTTACAGCTGCCATCTGCCAGCAGACAGTGCTTTGAGACTGGCTGGTGGTGGCATCCCATGTGTGACACAGCTCAGAGAATTGGAGTTCTCAAAAATACAGGAATACGTCTGAAATATGTCCACAATTGACCACCTAGTTTTACTTTGGATGTCCGAACCACAGCTACTCCATGTAGACTTTCAAATGCATTCCCCTCCTCACAAACAAAGCAGATGTACAATGCATGCCCCAAAGGCCATAAAACAGGCTGCTCTGGTTAGTAAAGTTTAAGTCAAACCATGCATAAACCAGAATGACTTCCCCATATTTCAATATGTACAGATTTTTCCATTATTTCTCCTTTTGATTACAAATCTTTCAATAGCAAGCACTGATGATCAAAATATCTCCATCAATGCTGAGATGGTCACTCTTGCCCCGGGTTCAGATTATGTCTCTTGCTGCTAGGTCTCTTCTATATTTGCCTAGTTATCCATATTGTGGGAAAACTAATCAGTTATTGTGAACAGTTGAACTAGGCTCAGAGGTATGATAATGGAGAAACACTTTATAGGCTATATATTTTATCATTTATACCCAATTGTTACATAAGCATGGTACATGTGCTTTTAGCAATAGACTTAAAGCAAGCACTATTATACATCACAAGTAGTTCTACTCTGTGATGACTCCTTTTGAGAATTCTCTTTTTATGCTAAACATTGGAGGTAATATTGATAGGGAGATAAACATTTGGTAAACAGTTCAATTTCAGGTATCACCTCACACTAGTCAGAATGGCCATCATTCAAAAGTCCACAAATGATAAACGCTGGAGAGGTTGTGGAGAAAAGGGAACCCTCCTACACTGTTGGTGGGAATGCAGTTTGGTGCAGCCGTATGGAAAACAGTATGGAGATTCCTCAAAAGACTAAAAATAGACTTACTATATGATCCAGCAATCCCATTCCAGGGCATATATCTAGAGGGAACCTTAATTCAAAAAGATACATGCACCCCAATGTTCATAGCAGCACTATTTACAATAGCCAAGACATGAAAACAACCTAAATGTCCACTGACAGATGACTGGATAAAGAAGTTGTGGTATATTTACGCAATGAAATACTACTCAGTCATAAAAATGAATAAAATAATGCCTTTTGCAGCAACATGGATGGACCTGGAGATCATCATTCTAAGTGAAGTTAGCCAGAAAGAGAAAGAAAAATACCTTAAGATATCACTTATATGTGGAATCTAAAAAAAAAAAAAAAAACAAATGAACTTACAAAACAGAAACAGACTCACAAAGACATAGAAAACAAACCTATGGTTACCAGGTGGCAAAGGGGGAGAGAAGGGATAAATTGGGAGTTCAAGATTTGCAGCTACTAACATATGCATATACATATACATATATTTTTATATATATATAAATATGTACATATTTTTATATATACATTTATAAAACAGATAAACAAGTTTATACTGTATAGCCTAGGGAACTATATTCAATATCTTGTAGTAACTTATGGTGAAAAGGAATATGAAAACAAATATATGTATGTTCATGTATGACAGAAGCATTATGTTGTACACCAGAAACTGACACAACATTGCAAACTGACTATACTTACATATGTATATATATATATATATATATAATTTAAGAAAAAGAAAAGATTAAAAACCAGCAATGCTTCAGTCACAAAATTATAACCATATTTATGAGTTCACTGAATCCCATACAATCAATCTCCCTTACCAAAAGTTTCACAAAATCAGAGTTTTCACTAGACCTCCTACCCAGCTCAGCAGTATGATCTGAAAGAAACTTGTACTTATCAAAAAGTCCTTCCCACAGATCTCCCTGAAGTAATTCCGCAGAACTTAACTGTCTATGAATGACAAAACCCAACAAGGAAGACCTGACTACGATGTTCTTAACAAAGAAGCTTAATCAAGTTGCTGTGACATGCATTTCAAGATTACAACCAGAATCATAACTGATAGCATTATACCAGGACACCTCTAAATTTCAGAAAATTTATATAATTTTTAGAATGTCCACATCAACAATATTCATTCATACCATTAATCCAAGGAGGCTTGTAACTCATTTGCCAATGTTTCCTGTGCAATTCAACATGCCAACCGATCCTAGTTACTTTAATATTTTTCCCAGAGATGCCTCAGGGACCCTTTGAAGCTTCCCAAAGTAGCTGAAGTCAAAAGAACTTTAATTATAATTTGATAGGAAGTTTGTCAACATCAAAAAGTTTCACACAAAAAACAAAACAAAACAAAAAGTTTCACACAGTTATCAGAAGCATTATAAGTAAACTTGTTCCCTCAACAGGGAGGAAGCAAATCTAGTACCAGCCTACTTTTAACAACAAAATCCACTTACCTAATGAAATTTAACCTATTTTCAGCCTTACCACGCACAGAATCCCTTTTTTTAGGGCTCCTGTTCTATAACTTTTCCACTACTTTCTATATCCATATTAGTTTCCCCTTAATTTTTTTTCCCATCTAGAAACAACCAGCTCTAGGACTGTCATTATCTTTTCCCTTTACAAAATTAAATTCCATTCCTTATATATATATATATTTTACTCAGAACATATATCCTACTTTCCTATTATATACTGAAATGTTTCCCCCATTTTTAATAGCATCAATTACATATTTAAGTTAGAATCCTCAATCCTTACAAGTCTTAATTTCTACTGAATGTTTCAGTATCTCATGTTTGGAAATGACCTGGCTATTCAGCTATTCAAAACTTTCATTATTTAATTTAATTTATCACAACTCTAAAATTTCAAGTTACCAAATATCTGGAGTGATCATTTCTAAGTAGACATTCTTAAAAGATAATTACTTCTAAAGAGTTAACCCAAAAGCTCTTATCTCATTTGCACTTAATTCACCTATAAGTGAATTCACTTATTCAACCTATAAGAATTTCACCATACCAAGTTAACTTTTTTCTTTCTGCTGACAAAGTCTGCAACAGAAACATGAACTTATTGACCTTCAGGAAACTCAGGTACAATGAAAGGCATGTCTGTATTGATTATACCAACAAGCTTAAGCTAGCTTTGTATCAAATATCAATTCAATACTGAATCTTTTCCAGATCATGTGAACCTGAAATTTGTTCTGTCTAGCTTCTTCTTTTGTACTTAGGAGTATTTAATTTGTAAGCACTTACTTTTAAGTCAATTAAGTAGCGCTCATTTACATGTTAATTTTTTACATAAGGACAGACATAACCAGAGATCACACGGTTTTTCCACTTGAGTTTAAAAAAAATCTCTTTTTCCCTTGAAAGCCCAGGTAGAACATCTACATCTCAAAAGCACAAGAAGAGAAATGCAAATTTCTCCTACTCTAATTGCTTTTACAAAATCCAGCCATCTTGGCTGTTTTCAGGGATTTGTTTTTCCAGTTCCCAAATATCTACTTCAATTTAAAGAAATAACAATAATAGACAATAATATGTATCTGTATCATTCGCTCACATTCACATGCCTTACTTTCAGCTAGGAAC